TTAAAAAGTTAAACATAACCCCACCATTGATTCAACCCTTCTACTCCCAGGTTTTCACTTAAATAAATGAAAGTATATGTCCACACAAAGACTTGTACATAAATTTACTTAGAACTTTTATCTGTATTAGCCCCAAACCCAAAACAGATTAAATGTCCCCCATCCAAAGGTAAATGAATAGACAGGCATATATATCCATACAATGGAAAACTGCTCAGCAATAAAAAGAAATAAGCTAGTGATATATGCAACATCTAGAAATCTCAAAATAATTACACTGATTGAACAAAGCCAAAGTAGAGTACCTACTATATGACTCCATTTATATAAAAGTAAAAAGAAAAAAAAAAGTGCTAGCCAATCTATAATGACAGGAAACAGGTCAGTGGTTGCCTTGGGGATAGTGGAGTGTTGGGAGGGAGGGAGGAATCACAAGGGCACAAGGCAACTTCAGGAAGATGACTGATATAATCATTATTTTAATGGTACTGATGCTCTCACAAATGTCAAAATTCATTAATTTTTTTTTTTTTACTTTTTAACTAGAGGCCTGGTGCACGAAATTCATGCCCTGGGCGGGGGGGTGGTGAGGGGGTGCCCTCAGCCCAGCCTCCGCCCTCTCACAATCCATGATCCCTCCCTCCTTACCGCTGGCCTGCTTGCTCCTTACTGCTCGGTTCACTGCTCCTTAGCGCTGCTGCGGAGATGGGAGAGGCTACCACCACCGCCACTGCAGCCGTGAGCCCAGCTTCTGGCTGAGCAGCACTTCCTGTGGGAGTGCACTGACCACCAGGGGGAAGCTCCTGCATTGAGCATCTTCCCACTGTGGTCAGTGTGCATCATAGCGACCGGTCATTCTGTCCTTCTTACTGCTCGGTTCACTGCTCCTTAGCGCTGCTGCGGAGATGGGAGAGGCTACCACCACCGCCACTGCAGCCGTGAGCCCAGCTTCTGGCTGAGCAGCACTTCCTGTGGGAGTGCACTGACCACCAGGGGGAAGCTCCTGCATTGAGCATCTTCCCACTGTGGTCAGTGTGCATCATAGCGACCGGTCATTCTAGTCGTTCCACCATAATGGTCGCTTAGGCTTTTATTATATAGATATGAACAGTTTATTGTATGTCAATTATCCCTCAGTAAATCCATGAAAATGTTCTTTTTTTGTTTTTGACTAGGACTGAAATGTTATGTCTATAAGAATATATAGTTATTTTACCAAGAACTGTACAGGTAGTGGAAGAATCTCAATGACAAAAACAGTTCTTGCTACACATTTTAATCTGCGGGCACGTTTTACCCCCGTGAAGACTTCAAACCATAATGATTAATGATCACATTTAGAGCTAAAATGGCCTGTCAGCTCTGGATTTTGTTGCAGCATTTGCATATTCCCACTGATCTCTGAAAGATCATTTAGTAGATCACTTTCAAGCCTACTAATGATTACGCTCCAGCCACTCCTACTTATCTGAAACACAATGTGGAGGGAAAGGAGCAAGTCCTTGGCTTGGTAGATCTAATCTCCCTTGAGAAGGAGAGAGATTGTTGGTGAATGACCCTGCCCCTCACCCAAATTCCTACCACAGAATTCAGGGGAGGTCCTTAGTCTCCTCGTAGTATCAAGAATCAACAACTGAGGTCCTTAATAAGCTATGTTGTGCTGGTCCTGCTCATATTCATCTCTCTGCAGAAACCCAATGGGGAAATGGACCAAAGAAACTAAACTCTTCTTTGATAACTTTATAAGAGCATAAATACAGCACCAAAATTGTACCTTCCCAAAGGACAGCCTCATTTCATCCCCTTCTTGCACTGGAACATAATTAAAAAATAACTCTAACTCTAGAACTTACCAAAAAAAAATAAAGCAAATTTGTGAAGGAACCTAGTATTCCTTAGCTGTGGCTTTACTGTTTTCTTATCCTCAGTACCACGGAGGTAAAGGATGAATGTCTGGATTTCTACTTCACTTACCCTCTCCCAGCATCCAAAGCATGCACATACATAAAAACACACTTTCCGCTGAGTTCAATATATTTTAAAATCTCTAAAACTTTGTAATTAAATATTTTTGGAACTGAAGTTCTCCGTGTGAACGGTAATAGCTCAATTTGTTGCTCATGTTAGAAAATAGATTAACTAGCATTTACTGAGGACTGTACCAGGCATAGTTCCAAATGCTTCACCTGTGTCATCTCATTGAATCCTCCTGAAAACCCTCCATGAGGGAGGTACTATTATTATCCTTTCACTTTTGAAAAGTGAAAATGAAGCACAGAAAAGTAAAATAGACTGCTCGGAATCAGAGAATCACACAAGCTAAACAACACCACAGCCATGTTGACATCCTGGCCCTCTGAAGAAATAAGCGAGAGCGCTAATGTATTCAAAACCCAGACACCGGACGTATTCATAACCTATGTCAGTTGCTCTGACTTTAAAATACAAGGGTACAATCGAAAGCTCAAGGATTATTTTGTCAAATCAAACTGGAATCCATGAAGGAGTGAAAGCACCTCACAATGGTGAGCACTCAAACTTCCCTGGGGAATGTTATCCATCGTGGCTACCGAAGGAATCAGACATTACACGTGTCCTGGGGGCCAATACTCCAAGCCTCCGAGCTGTGTGAAGGCTTTTGCTGTGACCATGGCAACCCTCGCTTTCCAGCTGTGTCACACCTGCTTTCCATCATCACAAGAATATGTTGGCCCAGCTAAGGAGCAGCATATTTTTGCAAATGATGATTTCAGCAAATAGTTTGTCTCCAGGTTGTAACCCAGCTTTTCAGGTGAGTAAATTTAAGCCATTTCTTGGCTGTTCTTCAGAAATGCAAGAAGGAAGGAAGAAAAGGAGAGAGAAATACTTTCAAAATGACACAAATGGGATTTAAACTTATATGTCTGAGATTCAAATAAAACTTAATCTGAGCATACATGTTTTGGTTCAGTCACTTAAGTCAATCTAATATTATCAATTCAAGGCATTTATATTACAAAAGGAACAAATTAAAGTATGTTATCATTAAAGTTTTAAAAAAGCTTTTACACCTTCTGGGGCAATACTTTGCAAGTTTGAGTGAACATGAGAGTGTGACAATCATCTATTTAATTATTTGCAAAACAGAGTCCAGGGTTTCTCCTCCTTGATCATGATTCTTTATGTACAGAGTGGAGCACACATAGTAATCATTTTGGAATTTGGGATTGCCTTCTATGACAATCCAAATTTTAACAATTTGCCCCCTGTTTGTTATTAGTTGTTCAGTATTATTAATCTCTCCGTGTTAATTATGTTCTTTCATGTAATGTAGGAGACACATACATGGCCCCACACCTTAATAGCCGTATGCTCAAAGCCAGGAATGCAATCATGATGCCTCCTTGCTTTCCCACTTTAGAGAGAAGCTTTCTCCTCATCATGCTTTCCTGTGGGATACCTGAATAGCATTTTCAAGTATGTAGAGTTTAGGTCGGCTCAGCAGACTTAGCAGTTGTTGAGAAACGACAGTGGAGATCCAGATTCAGGTGGGAGAACAGACTGAATCAGGGAATCTCCCCCACAGAGAAGAGAAAGAAGGGATCTAAGAGAGACTGAGTGGGTGGGAGAGGGGACCTGTCTTTGATTGAGGTTGACCTTCACAATAAGCAGTGTAGCTTGGAAGAGCACAGCTTCTGCTGTTTGAATCTCTCCTTGCAGCTGTGACCATGGATCATTTACTTCTCCTCACTATGCTTCCTTTTTCTCATATGTAACAAGGGGATAGTTGCAGGACTTACCTCGAAAGGAATTTTGTGAGGTTAAAATGCACTAGCACATGAGAAGTGCTTAGTGGCATACCTGGAACTATAGTAGTGATAGGTATTGTGATGTACAGTATAAAAGAGAAGGAATAGGGCCTGTTTGGCTCTGGATAGAGTGTCGGCCCACTGAAGGGTCCCGGTTTCAATTCTGGTCAAGGGCACATACCTCGGTTGCAGGCTCCATCCCAGCCCTGGTCAGGGTGCATGCGGGAGGCAACCAATCAATGATGTTTCTCTCTGTGTGTGTCTCTCTGCCTCCCTGCCACTCTCTCTAAAAATCAATAAAAAATATTCTTGGGTAAGGATTAACAAAAAAAATAAATAAATAAAAGAGAGAAGGAATAGGAAAACTTCAAATACCAAAATTTTTGGCTGACATCAGGAAATCATATCATTAATTTTTCTCACACCTTCCAGCTGTATTCATAACAAACCTCTAGTTCAGCGGTTCTCAACCTGTGGGTCGTGACCCCTTTGGCGGTCGAATGACCTTTTCACAGGGCTCGCCTAAGACCATCCTGCATATCAGATATTTACATTACGATTCATAACAGTAGCAACATTACAGTTATGAAGTAGCAACAAAAATAATTTTATGGTTGGGTCACAACATGAGGAACTATATTTAAAGGGCCAGAAGGTTGAGAACCACTGCTCTAGTTGTTGACTAAACCTCCCTTTTTTAACTAAACCTTAGTCATGCTTCTCTGAGCCCTCTTCTAAACCAGGACTTGCCCTTGGTCAACTGAGCCTAGTTTTAGAAGAATCCTGCTAAGCCAGGTTAGCAAGAATCTCTTCAACCCTTGATATCTGATCAGGAACCTCTTCCCCAACCCTTGATCTGTAACCAAGTTCCTCTTAGTAATTCCCATCCAGTGACTCCCTCACTCTGCCCACTCACTATAAATCTCCAGCTGTCCTTGTTGTAGTCAGCATTGAGTTCAATCTTTCTCCCTATTGCAATAGTCTTTTTTTTTAATTTTATTTTTTTTAGAACATCTTAAATTTTTAATCCTTTCTTTACAGGTTACCTAAGACCACTTTTGATTAAGAAAACTGTGCAAAGTTAGTAACTGCCACAAGCAAACGCCAGGTGGTGGCCCGAGTCAATTTTCCACAGAGTACTGCTTTGCGGGGTGTCTGAATGCACTGCTCAGGGTCTCTGCTCACACTTGCTGGAATCAATCGTGGCAGGTTTTAGTCCACAGGTCGCTTTTCCCCATATTTCTTTGTAAACTCTTCAGCATTCTTACAGAATTTTTTACGGTCCTTAGAGTATTCTTCAGCTTGGTCGGTTTTCATTGCTGGCTTCCAGTTTTCAGCACTAATTACTGGCAGACAGACCTGTCCCTTTTCATCGATATTGGGGTGATAGATCTTTGTTTTAAATGTAATCTTCTGTGGTTTGAATGAGTATTCTGCTGGAAAACTGATTTCGACTCTGAAGGCCTTCTTATCATATGGAGGGTTGTCAGGAACAATAAGCCCTTGCCAAGTCAATAAATTAGCTTCATCAACCTGGATGTTACAGAGGTTTTTCATTCCATATTTGCAGATTTCTTCAAGCTCCTTCACCAGCCTCCTGCTGGCCGCCATCTTGGATCTGGTGCTGCTGCTTTCCCAATGTGCCTTGCAATAGTCTTGACTCCTATTTCAAAAGTCTTGAATAGAGTCTTCCTTGCCTAACTCCATCCAGTGCAATTTTTTTCTTAACATTAGTCAAGGAATAACCAACATTCTCTTTGGAAAGTCTCTGACTGGAGTAAAAGAAAGAGAAACAAGGAACACCTCATCCTCAAACCTCTCCTTGTCATTCCATTTCCCTTCCACCCCAACATGGTCTTCTGTGCTCAGTTAAATGGTTTTCAATGAAGTGCAGTCACTGGAATTTATCTGTAGTAAAATATAATTTATCACCCATCACATTAAAAGAACTTAAAATTTAAAAAGCAAGGGAAATGGGCAAGAATTGGGGCACTGAACCCATGAAAGTGGGGGAGAGGGTCTATTATGAGGTAAAGGGAACAAGAATGGGGGGCTGAGTATTTGAATCACAAACTGACCCTTTTACAATTGTTGTCAAATGTGATTCCTTGATCTACAGCAGAAAATTTATTATTGTGCAATTTTTTATATGAAAACATACAAAAATCTGTAGAATAGTGAAAATAACCTCCTAATATCATTCAATTCATGACATGACCTTTGTGGAGGCCAACCACTAACAAATAGTTATGTCTTTATCATTGATAATCTTTCTTTGGCCCCTCATTATTCCTACAGTGATAAGTATTTATTTTATTTTTACCTCTAACTCTGACTGCAGTATTTCCTAGTAAGAGATTTGTCTCTCCTACAAGATCACAAACTCTCTGAGAGCAGGAAAACATGATGATTGTGTATTTTAAGCATGCTTACTTAATAAATCATCTTGTAGGCACTGAATAAATATTAGTTGATCATATCAAATAATTTATTCTTTCAAAATTCATACACAACATACAACTTAGAGGCCAATTGAACTCCTCCAGGACATGGAGGTAGAAGTCTTGGCATTTCTGCAATCTGATCAAAAAACAACTTCACTGACTTTTCAATAAGTATTAGCACACGAACCACAGAGAACTGTGGCATTTCACTGAAGACTGAGAATTCAGGAGAGCAAATGAGGCATCATCACACCTGTGATGATTAACTTTGTGTGCCAACTCAGCTGGGCCATGGGGTGCCCAGGGACTTGGTTAAATGTCATTCTGAATATGTCTGTGAAGGCGTTTCTGGATGAGATGAACCTTGGAGTCAATATACTGAGTAAAGCAGATGGCCCTCCCCAATGAAGTGGGCCTCATTCAATCCTTTGAGGACCCAGTTGAATCAAAGGCCAAGAAAGAAAGATTTCTCTCTCTCTGTCTGACTGTCTTCAAGCTGGGACGTTGGTCTTCTGACTTTAGACTCAGACCCAGACTAAAATTTATACCGTTGGCTCCTCTGGTTCTCAGGTCCTCAGATTTGGAATGGCACTGTACCATCTGCTCCCCTGGATCACCAGCTTGCTGACTATAGCTTGGCCTTCTCAGCACAACATCACATGAGCCAATTTCTTAGAGTAAATTTCTCTCTCTCTCTCTCTCTCTCTCTCTCTCTCTCTCTCTCCCCTCCCTTTCTTGATAGATACATGGAGATATAGCCTATTGGTTTTCTTTCTCTTGAAAACCCAGATTAACACAACACAATAAACATTTCACTAAAAGAAGCTTTCCACTAGCTTCTCTATTTTTTCTAATTCTCACCTCACTGTCTTAATTACCTACTCTATTTTTGCTCTTTCTCCCCTCACTCTTCTTTCCACTCCTTTCTACGGTAAATGTAAGAAACATCTAAGCCTGTAGATAATTTATAAGAGTTTATTTGAGCCAAACTGACAACATATACCAGAGAGCAAGGTCCCAAATGTTTCCCAAAGTAACAGTTTTGCTGCTTCTTTTATGCATTTGAAATTAAGGAGGGAACATAAGGAAGATTGGAGAAAACAAGGTGGGGATTGAATTACAGGATAGTTAACAAAATTATGTGCTTTTTTGAGAGTTAATACCACCTTTGAGGGTTAACCTAGATGCACAAGAACAATGAGAGGGCTGACTTTAAACATTTCACTGTAGAAGTTTATAGGCCTGGGGCATGACTATCCACCATAACAGGCCCAGTTAGGAATTTATGATCAGATCACCCTGTGAGGTTACTTTCCATAGAACCACTTTTTTTTTTCATCCATACTATCATACATACCCTCTATTACATAGAGAAAAATTACTCAAACATGTGTGGACAAAATCATTTGGGATGGGCAGGACCTTCTTTAAAATGCAGACTCCTAGGCCCAACTCCAAGGATGGTGTCTAATGTGGTGACCCTGAATGCAGTTGAACCTTGGACATAGTGTTTTGTGTACAAATCATAATCATCTGTGAAGAACAGGACCCCTGCTCCTTGGAGAAAAATTTTTACATCCCATCTGTTTTTTCTGGGATGATGCCTAGCACTTAGGTGGCACTATGTGAGTATAAACTAATATGTGTATATAGCCCAACTGAAAGTCGCTTTCAAAACGTCCGGAATAATATTATCTTTATCCCTATTATTCTTTACAAGTCAAAATTCAGGGAAAATGTAATTAACCTTTTTTTTCCCTCCTTTTCTTGAGCTACTTGAAGAAGCTTATGTAGAGTTTAGTGACACTGAAGGAAACATTAAGACCCTTTTGGTTATCATCTTTGTCCACCAATAGTTACAGAGAACTTGTTAAGAACACAGCCCTGGGTTAAGAGTTTCTCCACACTTTCCCTTCATTGCCTATATCACCCCTCTTATCGCCTCTTTATCAATCCCTGAGCTGGAGGACGGAGATTAGCTGTTACACACCCATGATTACAAGTATCTTGAGAATAAAAGTGAAGTTTTGGGGATTTCTATTCAACCAGCAGTAGTTTAACTTTTCAAAGGATTATCTATAAATTTTGAGCCTTAGAGATCACACACCATAAAATGTAAGCCCTTCCTAAGCATCTTTCATCAGTGGAGCTAGTTATCTCGACTGAGTCAGACAGCCTTTGACTTGAGCTTTTTCAGGTGTTTGTATAGATAGTGCTACCAAATGTCATACCATTTTGTGGAAAATAACCATCTCAAGTGTAAAGAAACCTTAAAAACTGATCTTAATCACACCTCTAATTAAACTAGGGGTAAGAGAAATAGGATAGAAGGCAGGAATTAAATGAGCAGGGGTTTGGATATGTGCTCATGTGTCTGGTAGACTGGGCATCCTCAAGGAAAAGTGAGCTCTGAGAGAGAAAATGATGTTTGTTCCTTAGGGAAAAAAGAATAATCAAGGATGACCATCAGGCTTGTATTCAGTATATTGGACCACCCCTTGGTTCAGCCAGCCCCTAAAGGTATAGTAGAGGAATGCTTTCTCCCAGGGCTGAGCCTGAAAGGCAGTAGGTGCTTTCCTACTGGCCAGAGAGAGAGGAGAATGGCAGGAGTTGATGGTCCAGAGGAAGTAAGCAGCAGCCCTAGGCTCTAGTCCAGTGATGAAAGTGGGTGGCCTGGAGGAAGTCAGCAGTAGCATGAGCAGGTATGAACGGTCATGCACAGCATTCCCACAGAACAAGCAGCAGCCAGGCAGCGACCTACAGGCCGCCAAGTAACAGCGGTCAGTACAGAAGAAGGACAGTGAGACCAGCAGGCAGCAGAGCTGGTGGAACCCAACGCTGCCGTCTTTGGTTCTGAGAAAATGTAAAAACCTTCCCTCCTTGTGGGTTCCCTCCTCCCAGCAGGAAAATGATGTTACTCAAATCTTTAGTTGATGATAATAACCATTGGACAACAGAGATGAGGATTTATTTTTAGCATTTAAGGAGGCAGATTTCCTGGGAGGAAAAGACTGATATCCTTCTCTTCAAGTGCAGACCATCAAGATTTAAATATTACTGTAAATGTGACACCTTTTTACTTGCTGGAAATTGAATCCTAGAATGTGAAATTTAATTCTAAATTACCAATGAAATTATTGCAATTTTCAGTTAAGAGGTTTCAACATATCTCTGGGCACGAATCGGCCTCTGAGTGTAGAAAAAATATTTTATGTTTCCCTCGTTCTCTCTCTGTTTTTTTTTCAAGCACATGAATAGATACACATGCTCACAGAGTCCACAGGTGTTTCATGTCTATCTCTGTGGGAACATAAGAGTTAATTTCAGCATTCCAAATGAGAAAACACTGGATGGGAAGCATTCAAAGTTAGAACATGTGCTACACAGAACATTTTGTTCAAATGATGACAGGGCAGAAAACGTGTGCAAGATTTAAAAAATACATTTCTTTAAATGTGTTTTCAGACTTTTTAATTTGACATCGTCTTCACTTTTTTGGAATGGAAGACATTAATTTGACTTAAATTTCAAAGCGAGGATTTTGGTTGCCAGTGGACAATGTGGTTACAATTTAGTGTTATTTCTTTATTTGTTGATTTGATTCGCTGGTGGTTGCCGCAGTCTGGCACCTCAATCAATATACTTTAGGAAACAGGGTGTGACCATATCCATGGGACTTGGCCCTGTGTGATGTCATGTTTAGTTGTCCTCTTCAATTTATTACCGTGACCCCAAAAGTGACCTGGGACTCTTGGAAGCTGTTAAGAAAAGAGAAAACCTTTACCATCATTCATATAACCAGGACAATGAAAATCTGAGAAAACAGAGAAAGGTTATAGCTTTGAAAGTTGAAACTTTTCTTATAGGCATGGAGACATGATTCTTCGAAAGCCACAGTTTCAGAAAAGAGCACCCAGGACCAACCTAAGCACGTTCCTCAGACCACACACCTTGGAGAAAGCCATGGGGCACAGGCTACATCAGCACTTAGTCTGTCCCTTTGAGTTCTGTCCAAAGCTCCTGACGTAGCTATGGCAGGTGACTAAGGCGGCATGCCAAAGGCCCCCAGCAGCATTTCGCTAATGTCTGCATAAATGGAAATACGTGGCCTTCCGCAAACGAAATCCAAATATCTCTTTAGCCCCATCTCCTATTCTTCACCAAACC